GGGATGGGAGAAAGTTGATTGTGAAGGGGAAAAAAAACTTTAAAGGGAAAGCACCTAAATAAAGCAACTCTGATAAAACAGCCAGAAAATTTCAAGCCTTCAGGAGGAGCAAAAGGGAAACCCATCCACCTTGGGCTTCTGCTTCTCACTTGTAAACAGAAAAGAATATATAGAGAGCACAGACTTTGTCCCAAACAGTATTTATCAGCAAATTTTTAACTCCAGTGCAATGTACTTTTGTACAAAAACTAACTGAATGACAGGATATGATAGAACAATGAATTTCAAGGATGCTGTTGAGGGCAGTCTCTGTGTGCAGCACAGGGCAGACTGGGGAGGGGAGAGGCACAGTGGCAGATAGGGTAGGGAGAAGAACGCAGAGAATCAGCTCAGGCAGAAAGCACAGGAAAAGAAGCAAAAAGCACAGCAGCTTGGTAAAGGAGCACAGGGCAGGGAGCAGAAAGCTGAGCAGCAGAGGAAGTAAGGGAGAGGAATTGGGCTTGCACTTGCGGAGGGTGTAGGGCTAATTTGTGGCAAGTCTGCCAAAAAGGTTAGTCCATACTATTCCAACGTGTCTACTATTTGCCATTGTTGGAGACAGGATGCTGGGTTAGATAGACCATTGGTGGGACTCCTTATGTTCTTAAGCTTTTCAGTTAATTTCATAATGAAGATATTAAAAAAAAAATACTTACTGGTCTTCCTGGCCTCCCTTTTGGACCAATAAAGCCCACAGGACCAGGCTCACCCTGAGGTCCCTAGAAATGCCAAGAAATAATTTAGAATTTTGATAGCTGCTGTTATTAACATGTTGCTAAATTAGCAAATTCAAGGAAATGCCACTTACTGGAAAGCCCTTAATTCCTGGTTCACCCATCTCCCCCTAAAAAGAAGAAAAGATTCAAGATACACTAAGTACTTGTATGCAATATTGAAAACTCCATCTTCTAGGTCAGGGATATTAAAAGTCATATCAAACTATCATACACAATCCAAACACATCATAAAATCTGATTAAAATCCTTATATAGAAATGAATTTAATATACACAGAAAAGCCAGAGTTTGATTAGGACTAAATCTATTCCTGGCTTCTGGAATAGCCTTTAAGGTTGTGTGCAGTTGGACCAACAATAGAGCATCCTAAAGTCTCTTCATTTACAGTGGGAAGAAAATCAGTCCCATGTTGCCTTTGGAAGACAGGAACTGCAAAAGTCGTTGTCAAACTTCCACCTTCCATTTCAGACTTACAATCAAGACCACAGTTTGCATTAGAAGGCTGAAACATATATACGTTACTACAGTATGAACCACATCACTATAACTGTAAAGTATAATTATACAAATTACACTACTTGCGTATTTGGGAATAAATTGTAAGTTTTCATAAAAGGTAAATAACAGAAAATGCAAGCAGCATTACATACATCTAAAGTGGAGTGTATATATTTATACTGAGCTCTTAAAAAAACATATAATGATCTATGTATATTTATATAACAAACCAACCAAGTGCCTGTGGATTGCATGAAAATTATATGAAAGATAACATAACAAAGAACACATTTGTATTCAATAGATAAAATACCTAAAGAATACTGCTGTAGCAAATGATGCAAATGAAAGCTATGAAACCCAGAAATAATCTACTGAATGTGCTGGGCAGGACTTCAGGTTCAACATGTATACATGTAATGTTCTACATACTGAGTTGGAAACATCCCCAAAACAAAATGTGTTTGGGAGATTTCCAGCACACCTACAATCAACATGTACTTGGCATTCTTTGCTGTCAAGAAGTTGGACAACTCCCCCATTCATAGAGATGAGATAGTCAGGAACAAGTGGAAAGCAGCAGCCTCCTTGGAAACTACAAATCAGAACTACAACTAGGCCTCAGAAACCTGGTGTGAAGGCTGAAAGAACAACATCCATGTTTTAAAGAAACTTTGAATGTGAGATTGTCTATTTTCCAGTATTAAATACATACTCTGTATTGTTCTGCTACTTCAGAAGGCAATACATATGGTTCTCCCTTCTGCCCTTTTGGTCCTTGGGCTCCCTAAATTAACACAAAAACACAAAATTAGCATTTCACATATATGAGTGTTTAAACAATGTTATGAATAATATCTGGCAGTGTTCTCATGTGTATATGTCCCTACTGTATGAATGGTGACTGTCAGTGAGTGGGAATTCATGTCATATGGTCAAAAATGCAAATTGTCAAGATTACATGAGTGAATTGTACAGCAGCCAGAAGAAGAAACATTCCATTAATTGGGAATTATGGTGCAGGGGTCAGCAAGACCCTCTTATACCCTAGAAAAATGGCTGCAGTTCCTCAGTGTTGTTTATGTGTACTGGTTAAACCATGAGATCTAAAGTCCAACTCAGCACAGCAAAACCGTGCAAACCAAGAAGGTATTGCCACTATGGCACAGTTGGGACAATAATAATTGGCAAAAAAAAGAAAAAAAGAAAAAAAAGAAAAATGAGGTCTAGAGCCCCACCAGTGTTTCCCTTACATAAACTCATTATGTAAGACTTATGCAGCAGTGGGGAGTATTGAAGCAGCCCTTTCACACCTTGGTGAAAGCCACATTATTTTAGAAGAACAACTGGATCCAGTACTGCTGCTGTACTAGGTCACCCTTAGTCAATGGAGCATTATGCAGATAAACAGAGGGCTTCCATAGAGGCAACTAAAACCACTGCTAAATCTCATTAAAAAAACAGTTCAAGTGTGAGATAGAGACAGAGAGAGTAGGAGGATTTTCCATTTAACTTCTGCAACTATTACACACAGATTAAATAAAAGTATGCATCAAAGGACATCCATTTACTTACAGTTATTTACTTACAGTGAAACCAAATTGACCTGGGGGGCCCTGGATTCCCTGTTCACCAGGGTCACCTGTTGTACCATTGCAGCCATCATGACCTGGTTTTCCTCTTGACCCTGGCTGGCCTGGATGACCCTGTGGAGAATAAAAACTGTGTTTATCCATCCATCTGCTTCTACTTTTCATTTTCCAGCATTCACACAGTTTTTAAACATTCTCACAATAAGCCCAAGGCTTAGATCCATGGGAAACTAGAATTTTCAAAGAAAGAAACAGACAGTGCTTTTAATATAGCTGCAGTTTGAACCAGATGCCCCAGACAGCATGAAAAAAAATCAGTAGCAAAGGACCTTTTGGAAAGGGTAAGAAAGCTCTGTTCAATGCTCTCTCTGTTAAACAGAGAGCGAAACTAGCCAAGGGCTCTTATACAGGGAGTGATCTGGGACAGGGACTATTGAGGGTATACTGCTTTCAGCATTTGGCAGCATAAAAGTAGGAATAAAAGTTTCTTATTGGCTTTAAACAACTTCCAAGTTAGGAAAAAATGTTAGCAATGCTTCCAGAGCAAGGCTTAGCGTCATGATACAGCTATGGCACACACACATTGAAAGAGAAAGCAGCAGCTCAATACAAAGGAGTGGCTGGCACAATGGCAGGACCACATTATGAGCTTCTGGGCAGGGCAGAAAGGAGGGAACACCTAGTCCTGATTCAGTTCTCCCTTAAAGTGGATTGATATCACCTGTACCTACTCCCGATTGGCACTGGAAGAGAATCAGGGAAGCTGTGTGCTTGCTTTGAGCATTTTTTTTTTATTCTAGGCAGGATGGACCAGAGAAATGGGAGCCAAGCATTATCAGAAACCATCTCTCTGCTCCTTTTTTCATCAGCAGGAACCATACTGCTCTCTAACCTTCCCATGTGTGAGTAGAAAGAAAACAGCCCAGCTATGCTGGTACTTGCCAGCCTCCAACAAGCACCAGGTTCTCTCACCCTCAACAGCCTTCATCTTAGCCTCTAGCCTCATACACTTGAATTCAGCCACTGCTTCCTCACAGTCACCATTGCTGCCTGATTGGAGGCAGCTAACTGGGAAGCAGCCAAGGAAGCAGAACACAAGTTGGAAGAGAAAATGAATTATTTGATGTTATACCTATGCCGCAGAATGGAGTGCAGTGTAGAGATACCCCAGATAGCTCTCAACAAGCTAGATACTAGGAGCAGTCTAACTGTTTAGCATGGAGCTTCATGGAGACTTTCTTAGGCATTTAGAACAAGCCGAATGGGGTCACACATCTCTACGCAGAACCAACGTGCATATCCCTACACCTGCTGCAGGCAGCTGTCCTAAGAGAGACCCATAGTCTTGAAGCCAAAACATCTCTCTCTCTCCTCACACAGACATCAGCTGTGTGCATGCAAACTTCAGCGAAGTCAATACAATTTATGAGTCTGAATAACTGGTAAGACAATCCGGACCTTTGAATGCATAGGTTTTAATCACAGTGGAAAGGGGGCTCTTCAGCTCTGGCTATCAGGAAAAGGAAAGAGGGAGGGGGTGAGGGGAGGGAGGGAGAGGGTGAGAGACAATGCCTTGAACAGATATGGAACATTTCTGGAAGCAAAAAGGGTGAGAGAGGAGTGGATGTGCATGTGTGGGTGGCTGAGAAAGGCCCTAGTGTCAGAGAGCACTGCAAAGGAAGTCTAGTCCTGGGAAATTTGCCCAGGGATTTCTGGGCCTCACGTTTATTTGTTTATTATTGTATGCCATGAGATGAAAAGGAGTGTAAACTAGGGAAAATATCCTTTACTGCATCTTAAACTTTTACCCTCTTTACGCCTACACTCCAAACTATGATTTTGTTTTTAGAACATTTTGATAGGGTTGTTTCATGAACCTTGATCATTTGCTTACATTTCTGCAGAATTCCAGTTCCTAGGGAAAGTATTAAGGTTGTGCAGCTCATACAGACTGACAAACTCAACACATAATAACAATAAGTCCTCTTAGCTGACTTACATTTTGAAGGTGCTTTAAAAACAGGTAATAATTTAAGGATCCGATTTTGTCCTCATCATCTGGATCCTGAGGAGATGCTTCGTGCGTGGACCAAAATACTCTGGGTGTGGTTGGACATGATATTTGAAATGTTTCAAATGGCTTAGACATGCTTTTTGGGTGCTGAGACACGTTACATTTAAGACACAGCCAAGGTATTAATTGTTCCCTAAATAGTAAAGTGGCCACTAGTTAGAGCCAATTTATGGTGAGATAATATAGCGAATGAGTCACAAAGATATTCTGCATATAATGTGTAACATCTTTGTGGCTTGCTTGTACCACACCTTAAATTGAACATGTGGCATGTTGAGACTGAATCACAACAGATCCCAATGCTCAGCAGAGCGTAGGGATTTGGCATGGGGCAGCCCCAGGGTCTGAGACACAGAGATTCCCATCTCAATTAGTGGGATCAGGCTGGGACCAGTATTTAGTCCTGGATTCAATGCCACCGTCCAATCCCTGCCATTTGAGCATCTCCCTGATCTTGAGCTCACTATGCCCTGGGCCTTTAAAAAGTGAGTGCAGCTGGGATTTGCAGCTGCACACCTGCTGTTTTACATTCCTGGGGCACCTGTGGAAGCAGCATCCAGTTTGCTGAAAACGCCAAGCCCCTCAGCTGCTTATGCCTTGCACCATGGGTCCCAGTGCATGGGGAGATTTAAAGAGCACTGCTGAGGTAGCTTCCATCCCAGGGACTTTAAACTCCATGCATGGCAGCTCTGGCCAGGCAGTCAGGTGTGAGGGATCAGAAGCTTTCTGTGGGATTTAAAATCCCTGGGAAGAAGGTAAACACTTTGGCATCTCCCACCAGACGTCGTTAATTCTCTGCACTCAGCAGGCCAGCCAGAGTTGCAGGATGTGGAGGTTTGACAATCAGCTGATTGTCAGCTCAGCCAGGACAGTCCTGGTCTTCAACCAGACTCAGAGCTGTCCCAGCTGGGGTCAACAACCAGCTGATTATCAGCCTAGCCCCAGACTGTACTGGAGCTGGTTTGAGTCCCCAGTAGGATCCAGTGGAGCAGTTGAAAATAAGCTGACTGTCAGCTAGGCTGGACCTGCAAGCACTTGAACTCCTTCAGCTTCCAGTGATTATGATCCTGCACTTGCAAATAGTAGTGGCATGACTGGGATCTACTCCCTGATTCCAGGCACGTGTGGCATGGCAGGAGGTAGGACTGTTGGGACTAGAGATTAGATCTAATTGTGCTATTAAATGAGTTAGGAGATTAGATCTAATTGTGCCATTAAAGAGTGTCAGGCGCTCTTGAAATGTTCCAAAGGACTACTGTACAGAAGAACAGATAAGACAAAATGGTCTATTGTGTGACAGCAATGTACCTTGAAGAAGCAGCCACTGATTTATACTATTTTGTTCCATCGTATGGTACATATTAGGGCTTTCAAAGCTTTGGTTTCTGATTTGATTCAGCAGATATTCGGCTCAATTCGGTGGCTGAATCTCCAAATCCAAATCAAATCAGGAGATCCTTTAACCTCTCTGAATTGATTCAGAACCCTCCGAATTGATTTGGAGAGATTCAGAAAGATTTGATGATTCAGCCATAGACACAGCTTTAAATATTTTTTCTACATACCTCAAGGTACCAGGTGGCTTGTGAATGCTGAGATGATGGGGCAGATGGAGCATCCCACAGGAGAATGGTGGGGGGGTCCCCAGCACACTCGGCAGCCGACTCGGAAGTGGATGAGAAGCATTTCTGGTCCACTTCTGGGTCTGTGGGGGAGTGCACAGGGGGTCCCACTACTCTGGGTGCTCAAGTTGCTGCTAGAGCCAGAAAGCTGCAGAACTGGGAGAGCTATGCCCCTCTTACTCCCTTCCCCCACCATGACTGAACCAAGCAACTTTGTGGTTGGTGGGCATAAGCAGAGCTGCAGGCTGCTGCAACACTGTTATGCACCAGACACAGTTGCATGCAGCTGCAGTAATTTTTGAAGCGCTCCATCTGGGAGGGATGACAAGGGTGCTGCCTGTCTGTCCACAGCTGAAACACTACATTTATTTAAAATTTTAAACCCTGACATAATTTGAAACACTACAAATGTTATGCCTGTCCATGCCCTCTCATTCAGTGAGGCATGATTAGCTCAGCAACCTTCATGAACACACTAAGGGTTCATTCCTCTCAAAGCAAATTCTTGAATTTACGAGAGAAAGAAATTGAAACTTAATGATCTGTGATGACAGTGGAAGGGGCAAAATTCTGTTCCCAGTTATGTGTCTGCAACTGCATTCACTTGAGCAGGTCTTGTTGACTTGCATGGGCTGTGTGCATGTAACTGAGGGTGGAATTTGGCACGTGGACTTTAATTAAAGGACAGCAATTCCATTCCAGTCTGAAATGTTTACAGTTAGTGACATACAATTCTCAGTACTCTTTTGCTTTCTGAGGTATGAAATATCAGACTACTTACAGGAACACCATCTGCCCCAGGAAAGCCAGTAACTCCTCTTAAGCCCTGAAAAAAAATGCAATTAAAATAAAGCATTATCCTGCTACTTTGTTCTTCAGGAGTACAATGGGACATACAGAATATTTGAAATTACCTGGTCTCCTTTTGGTCCAGTTATTCCTGGTTGCCCTCTTTCACCTTTATGACCTTTGGGACCTTCTAAACCTGGTATACCTATTAATCCTGGTGGTCCAGGGAATCCCTGTGGTCCAAGTGGTCCTGGTTGGCCCTGACAAAATAAAAAAGTAAAAAGGATTTCTTCAGGAATTATTGTAATATGCAGTGGCTGATGATATGGATCCCTTGCAACAGAAAACCTCTCTGGAGATAAAAAGAAAAAAAGCAAGACAACGCTTTCACCTTTGGCAAGCTGGGGACTTTGAAGAAGATCTTTGAGAACAACACACACAACCTACACAACTGTTGCTGTAATGTACAAGACAAAATCAATACATGAAAATAAGACTAAGAAAACAAAATGATCTTCGTCTTAGAATATTCACTACTCTATAAAAGAGAGGTTATCTGTGGAATAAGCAGAGCCAGTTTCTGATGAGCAGCACCCATCTATCTAAGGCAGTCACTTACAGTACAATCCAATTAAATGAGATGTATTTAATTGTGTTATCTATTTAACTGGGATGTTTCTGCAAAACATCTGTGGTAATGAATCAAGGTACTTGGATATAAGTAGAAAAGATTCATAGAAGAATTGGTACTCAATTAAGGAATGGCATTCACATAGATCAAGGAGTTGCTTTGAGGCTCTCCTGTGCTTGAAAAAACTCCCTTCAGGGCACTTCATGGCATATTTAAAATCAGTTCTCCTTGGGCTGACAGTATGACAAGGCTAATCAGAGATATAGACCATTTCAAGACTTTAGTCAATGGCTTAAGCTTTCATTAGTGAAATAAAGCATTAAAAAACTATAAATATGATTTACAGTTTCCATATGTATCAGTAATCATCACAGTAAGCACAATAATAACACTTAAATAATAAATAATCAGCATCAGCATCATCATACTCTCCCATATGGAAAATTCTCTTAATCGGGGTGAGGAGCCATCCAGTAAGACATCCTGATTATGCACATTGTAACTGATTTGTTCTTTAAGAAATGTATTTAGATTTTCATAATAAATTCTGAAATTGCATCACTGCAAAACCAAGTAGAAACAATACTGCTATCTGTACAACTAGTATATATGCAAGCTGCATTAAAATGTAGACTACTCATATATCCCCCAGCTCACCACTCTACAACAGCCCTCTTTTTTACAAGATAATTCAGGGTTTTATAGAATGAAACAAAAAGCAAAACAACAACCCCTCCACTCCACCCAATATGAAATACACTTGTGGCAAAAAAATGATAAGTCAACAAACAATTAATTCTAGGATTTCCAGTATTCCTTTTGGGGATAAGCTATTGGATTTTTTACTACTGGCCCAAAAGTCTGAGTGGGTGCATCTACATGTGTAATTAGTGCATCTGAATAAACACTGGCACAGTTCACTCCAGAGTCAGCTACTTCTTAGGTGCAGTGTCTTCACATGCACCTGGGACTGCAGCAATTCAAACTGGGACAGAGCAGCCCTGGACTCTGGGTGACAGCACTGAGGCTGGCTGGGGCATGAGGGTGTTACAGTGTGGGCCTAGCTGGCAGGCAGACCCTGTTATGTAGCATCTTTGTGCCCCAGTCAGTGCTGGTCACAGTCTACACATGTGTTGAGGCAGCATAAATTATTCTGTTGTAAGACAGTACTTGTCCTGGACAGTGCTAGCCTACAGCAGAGTTTATTAATTTACTGAGCCCTAATATGGGTGTACATTCAGACAGTGATGCTTTGTTATGGAGCTAATTAGTCAACTTTGCAGTAAAGTACATGTGTAAATGCACCCAGTGTGACTTGATGTCTGCAGAAAGTCTGCTGTGCTATTTCACTGTAGTTCATACATAATGAAGCCACATGCAAAATTCAGTGTAGTTTTTACAATGCAGTCTTTACACCATTGCACCAGGAATGCAATGGTGTAAAGACTGCATTACTTGTTACACCTTTGGGACTAGTCTCCTATACGTGATATACCATTTGGTTATTAATTTGAGAGAATTGATTCCTGTGCCAAAACACAGGGATTTAAGCATTTAAGATGTCATAGTGAAACAGGCACCATGCTCTGTTTATGACTGGACACAAATATTCTGCAGCATCCTGCCATTTACAGTTCACTTGCATTATGGGTGAAGCAAAGCTGGGGTGATTTAGCAAAAGGAAGCAAGTATTTCCTTTGTGCTAGCGTATTTAAAAGGAACACATATTATTCAAATAAACACCAACTTACTGGTGGAAAAATGGAAGGTTTGATCCCAGAAAAAATGCAAAAAAAAATCTGAGCAAGTGACAGATCAATAATTCTTTTGCTTACTCCCGTCTATCCCCCCCCACCATTCTGCAGAAGAGGGTGAGGTCAGGAATGGGGCCCAGGGAGGAGAAGACATATCCTCAGCTAGAACTCTCTCCCTCCTATGCTGCTGTAGCATAAAGGTGGGGTATAGAGAATGCAAGACAGGTGGTATAGCCTGAAATTTCTACAGCAGGATTACTGTAGAAGTACACAAACCCCATGATCTTCTGTTTCTAAAGCATGTAGACCAACCTCACACCAGTTCCTATTAAACTATCTTAGCTATTGATTTAAAATTAATAACTATTATTCTGAATAATATAACATTATTCACTATTTCATGCTAATCTGTCCTTTTCAAAATCACTTTACACAGAGCTTCAAATATTATCTTAAAGCACATGCATGTCATATATTAGAAAAAGCCACACAACAAACAAGTAATTCAAAGTTCCAATCCACAGTCTGTGTTAATTCATTGCCTGAGTTAGCTTAGGTTTCAAATTACATGTTGAGGGACTTTAGAACATGTTTTTAAAATACTCCAGCATGAGAGAGAAAGCTTTTATGTAATAAAAATAAAGTTTTATGCATGCACTGAAATGAATGAAAACCTGATCAGCTTGTGGAACTATGAAGAGAGACAGAGTGAACAGGATTACGCCAGGCTATGTTGGTGGGCAGCAACTCCTAAGTCACAAGCGCTACCTTCTATTAGGATGGCCAATAATGCTCCACCTGCAATGCGCCTGTCTCCTTCCACAAGCTGCTGTGGAGGATATAAAAACTCAAACGTGGCAGGGCCATGCTCCTGCACGTGACTTTCCCCAACACCTCCTTGCTACCTTTTGGTAATTTCTTTGGGTTAACTTTCATGAATTATGTGCAACAATGTTATAAATAACCCTGTCAAAAACCAAGAGCTTATCATGAAGCTCTAAGAAAATAGCACTGTTGTAATATCATATTGGTGTCTGCCTATTCCTTTGCCCAGTCAGCACATCAGGGTGTGCTGCATCAGCCCTTTCTCCACTTTCCCTTGTTATAGATCTTTTCTACTGTCAACAAAGATATTTCTCCTGTTCAGTAGGAACTGGACTAAAAACACTGGGTCTTTTCACAAAGGTTATTAAGGAACATTAACTGGCAACATGAAAAGAAAACATTTGAAAGATTTAGTCAAATAAAGAGCTGGCTCATCACAATTTAAAGAGTTGAGAAATTATGAATAACTGTTTTAGACACTGTAACTCATTTTCATTCACTCAGTTTTCATGTCGTGCTTATGTTAAACTTCCTTTGATACATATCTAGTCTTCAGACTTCAGGCTCTGACATATTTTTGGCCTTTCAGTTTGATCTTTCATCAAGTTTGGTTTAATCAAAGTTAAATTGTACTCCCACTGTTCCTCTCATGCATCCTGACTGCCAAGCCCAACTTACAGTAGAATGTCTTTATCCTTGACCAGTCCTACTAAGGTCTTTATTACACATGGAGTTGATAGGGCTGCCTATTGGTACAGTTGCCTAATATTTTTCATTCCAATACTCTATTTTCGATTGCTTGTGACTTTGTCAGACTTTAACAGACCAGACTGAAATTTTTCATGCTAGGTATCTTTTTCAACCTGAATTTTACAAGCAATATTCAACGGAAACATTTTTGCTGTTTCCAAGAAAGAAATTGGGATTAAACACATTGTTTGGCCCACATTAAAAAAATCTTTACAACTCTTCTTACGATGGAGCAGCTCAGTGTTTTCAAGCCAGGACTTGAAATGATCAGGGTTTCTATGTCTCTGAAATTTTCAGGGTTTCCCCATACAACCCTAATTTATCCTCAAAGTACTATACATTAAGGCTGTGTGAAGCTTCGGTAGCTGATTCAATTTGGAGGAGATTCGGCTTGATTCGGCGGCTGAATCTCTGACTCCAAATTGAATTGGGAGACCCATTAAAAAGGTCTGAATCAAACTAGATGCCTCTGAATCGATTTGGAGAGATTCAGAGATTCTGAAGGCTTGCAGCAAGGCATCATGCCTGCACGAGGGGCTACCATCCCTGCTGTTTTCATCCTGCTCTGCCTTAACACACACAAGTGATGCAAGTTTTGCTTTCAACAGTTTGAGGTGCACTTTCACAGAAACCCCTGCCCCTTTCTCCTTGAAACTTGGCAGGCTTCATGTCCTCAGAAAGGGCTATCATCCCTGCTGTTTTCATTCAAATCTGCAAAAAAAGGATGAAGTTACAGGTATTTTAGTGATTCCCCATTATAGTCTATCTCCTAATTGGCGCTGAATCTTTGAACCTGAATTGGCTGAATCATAGAATCATAGACTGTAAGGCTGGAAGGGACCTTGGAAGATCATCGGGTCCAGCCTCCCCCACACCAAGCAGGAAAGACAACTGTGGTCAGGTGATCCTAGCAAGATGCAGAGCTAGTTCCAGTATGTCTGCATAGAGTTGTGACTTTGCGACTCTCAGACAAATCCAAGAGTCCCAGGCAGACATCAAAAGTAAATTATTCAATGGGAAATGCAATCTAATTGGGACAGTGATTCAAATCACTGAACTGAATCGCTCTCTCCAAATCTGAAGTGAATACTTGCGGTTTTGCACAGGCTTACTATACATCCCATGAACTCAATAAAGAAGGTATCTTGTGAAAAAAACAGTTGGTGATCAAAACCAAAAAGTTGGTCCAATAATATATCACCCACAAGTATTCTTGCCCCTGAGCTATCTCGTGGACCATCACTACCTCAACACTATCAGTTTGTGAACATGGAACTAAAGACCATAGCATCATTCATAT